GTGAAACTGGTGTTCCCTTCTTGTTCTTTCTGGACGCAGGCGCTTTCGAACGCTTACCTTCTACGTCGCTCTGAGTTGCAGAACGTCTTCGTCCGAAGAAGCATGACGGCGGCAGAACGCGCCCAAGACTTCGAGCTAAGGCAAGAAGCCAGGGAAAGGAATAAAGGCAAGGTCACCAAAGAATGGGTTGTATACCGTGGTGAGCTTCGCCGCACGACGGATTTACCTAAGCGTTCTTTTCAGGGAACCCTGTAGCCCTGCCCAACTTCTCTGCACTTCGTTGTTTTCTTTTTAACTCTCGTAGCTTAGTGAACAAAATTTTTCTTCTTCACACATTTTTAGCTTTTCACACACCGGACATCGTATGTATCACCGAAACCTGGCTGAACGACAAAATTCGCGATTCTGAGGTTGTTGCAGATTTTCCTTATTCCATCTACCGAGCGGACAGGAAACATCGGAGGGGAGGAGGGGTTTGCTGCCTGATTAAGGATGAGTTTGTGGTCGAACAAATAGGAGTTACGCAAAATCACTACTGGGACCTTCTCTGCCTCAACATCTGGTCCAGTTGTTCTCTCTCATCTTTGAGGTTCATCGTTGTCTATCGCCCTCCTTCATCTGATTCTCGCAGCGATGGTGAATTAGTTGATGCTCTACTCAGTTTCTGTTCACTTCCAGTTGTGCCAATCATACTTGGCGACTTCAGCATTGACTTCTCTTCTCTGACACCTCATTCTGATAACAAACTCTCTTCACTCGTCCACTATTGCAATCTCTCACAGTTCGTCGACTTTCCTACCAGAATAAATTCAACCATTGACTTGATTTTTGCACCTGACACTACAGTTCACAACGTCAAGGCACATGCCCCTTTCGGGACCTCAGATCACAGCGTTATAAGTTTTGACGCCGCATTCAATTCAAGTAGGGCTGCTTACATTCCATATCCAGACTTTCGAAATGCTGATTTCTCAGGAATCAACAGTGCCTTACAAAATGTCGACTGGTACGGAGTTTTCAATAATTGGGAATCCGTGGATGATCTATATTGCCGTTTTTGTAAAGTATTATACCAAATACTGCCCAAACATGTGCCTTTTCGTTTTGAATCCCCTAAAGTTAGGAAATATCCCTCACACATTCAGAATCTGTTAGAGCAAAAATCCAAGCTTTTTTCTCAGTTCCAAGATCCCCTGAATAGTCAGCTTTACCGGAAAGTATGTACAGATCTTAGGCATCACATTAAGAAATATCTAGCCAATCGGGAAAGGCGACTTGCGAGCAGCAACTCCAGGGAACTTTACCAATACCTCAGCTATAGAGCTAAAGGGCAGCAAAAATTGTCGTTCTTGATCGACGAATACGGTAACTCTATCATAAGTGACAAGGACAAGGCGAGGGCTTTGGGAGAGTATTTCGCCAGTTTTTTCACTCTATCTAATTCCGAAAATGTTGAAATTTTACCAACATCTTGTTGCGCTATCAATCGTGTAAGTATGAGTTGTGCAGCAATATTAGTCGAACCTACAAAGGTGTTCCATATTCTGCGAAAATTCAAGGGATCCACTTCTGTAGTATATGATGGACTGCCTCAGATTATTTATAGGAAATGTGCGCATACCCTAGCCTTCCCTTTGTCACTTATTTTCAATGCTTCCTTATCATTAGGAGTAGTTCCTAAAATATGGAAAGAAGCGCTAATAACAGCTATTCCAAAACGCGAAAACAACACTACTATTTCGAATTTCCGCCCTATCAGCATAACCGCACCTTGCGGCAAAGTTCTAGAAAAAATTGTCAAGGAGCGCTTACTCGATTGGCTAGACAGCAATAAAGTTTTTCCATCTGCCCAAAACGGGTTTCTTCCTGGAGGATCAACTACAGCTTTACTCTCGGACTCCCTCTTTGATTGGGTTAGCGCGGTGAATCAAGGAAAATCAGTTGATGTTGTATTTTTTGATTTGTCCAAAGCATTCGATAGAGTCAATCATTCCAAATTACTTCTCAAGCTTGAGAATTACGGAATTCGAGGGCAATTGTTGTCTTGGCTTGCGTCCTATCTTCATGATCGAGGCATGACTGTTCGAGTTGGGAACAGTTATTCGAAGCGATTTTGCTGTGATAGTGGAGTCCCTCAGGGAGGGATACTTTCTCCTCTTCTCTTCTTAACCTATACCGCAGAGTTGCCTTCTGTGCTTAGAACTCATCCAAATATCAAAATTCAAGTTTTTGCTGACGATGTTAAAATCTATTTTTGCTACAATGAGGAAGAGTTTTCTGAAGCATATACAGCGATTTCTTCTGCAATAGGAAAAATGATTTTTTGGTCTAAGAAGTGGGATCTTCCCGTTAATGCACTTAAATCCAAAGTGCTCCATATCGGCAACTATTGACTATTTTTGCGACGGGGTCGTCCTGGAGCGCTGTAGCAATACAAAAGATCTTGGCATTTTTGTAGACGATCAGCTAAATTTTAATTTCCACTTTGATTCAGTGGTTAAAAAGGCTCTGTCAGCGCTGTTCGTTCTATTAAGAAGCATTCAGAGCAATGACCCAGTCCTCCTTGTGCGGCTCTATAAGACATACGTTTTGCCACATTTAGAATATGCATCACCGGTCTGGAGTCCATTTGTAAAGAAGAACATTGAAAAGTTAGAGAAGGTCCAGAAAACATTTACCAGAATTCTCTACTACAGATGTTATCCCAGACCGGATTATCCTCAAACTCTGCCATCGTACAATACTAGACTGGCTACGCTTAAATTGCATAGCCTGAAATATAGACGCATATGTAATGACTTAGTCCTATGTTTTCGCATTCTTAGACTTGAAACAAGACTAAGTCCTAGCCGTTACTGGATTTTCAGACCTTGTGGGAGAACTGGCGGTTTCGGTTTGTCTTACAGGAAGTTAGGACGTAAAAAGTTGTCAATAGCTTTTAATTCTTTTGTGTGCCGTTCCGCCAGATGGCTCAATCTTTTACCATGCGAAATTATCTCGTCCAAGAATTCTGCAGAGTTTCGAAAAAAATTAGCTTCCATAGATGTCCTGCAGACTTTGAGAATCGCTGATGTTTAGCCTGCTGTATTCATACTGCACATCTTTTTTTTCTGTTGGAATTTTTTGTTTTTTGCACACCATGCCAAAAGAAAAACAAAGCAAAAGAAATTCTTTCTCTTTGACCCTTTGTCAGGCATGACTACAGCATTGACGAAATCATTTCTATCGTTCTTCTAAGATATCCAGACAGGTTTGCAGTCTCTTCGCTCAGCCGTTTGAGGAAACTGAAGCTGGCGCGCCCCTCTTCCTTGAAATCCCCCCTTCTCGCTCGCCCAGGGTCCCTGGCGGATTCGTCCGCAAAGGGTTAAGTGGTCAGCCAGCCCTGGTAAGTGCGGTCATCCAAACTCGCCACAGAAGAAGGAGAACGACCTGCACTTCGGGCGGAGCATTTTACCTGCCTCACCTGTCTATCATGAACGCTGTGTAACATTTGGTGTGATAATATTTCCTGCTATTGATTACTTGTGTTCTTTTTGGCACACTTTTGGTGTATTTTAAATAAATAAATACCTCAAATTGAGCTGTTCTCACAGAATAGACGTATCGTTAGATACTCGATGCTGAAGCATATGGGGAGGGTCTAGCGTGAACCACAAATTGACAGATGCGAGGTCTCCGCCCTTGGCTGGGTGTCTGCCTATTTTTGTGACGCTTGACTAGGGCCAAAAACAGCAGTCGAATCCGTCGTCACAATTTCATGAAGGTCCTCTGTACTCTGATGCAGCAACTGAATTTTTACCTTCACAGGTAATGTAACCATCCAAAGGCAGAATTGAGCTGCGGTCGCGCACTGAATCACAATTTTCTTTTAACCTTTTCCTACCATCAATGGATTCTCTTCTTAAGTACTCAGTAAGTCTTATGAAGGATAAAGATTGCTTCAAACAAATTTCTATCCTGTTCATAGGGAGCGCAGATTCATAAAAAGGTCATGTCGTAGTAAAGAAAATGGTTCATCAATCTTCTGATCAGCCACATCCAAGAACTACGTCAGAAAACTCGAAAGCTTCCAGACAAGAGCTTTTTGCGGTTTTGATGTCTAAGGAAAGTTATATGCGGTAATGCTCCAGTGCCTAGGATATGAAATCTAGTCCCAATACGGTGAATCACTTGAGGGTACGACTTTTCATTCTGCCAAATCTCTTCGGCTGACCACTCTGCTCACTAGAGCTGCTGGCAGATTGGTAAGTGAGCCCATCCAGTGAAAACTGGCCACTTACAAAAAAGTTTGTTTCTGCATTTACGCTTGCTTTTAGTGCCACTTTCAGGCACAACACAATTACGCAAAAATGGGAGTGATTCAATGATCAAATGCTCGTGATGCCTTTGGGGCCGGGCATACTTCAGGCCTAAGGCATACCTCACGCGATTTGGCCAAATCGCCACTTTGACGCGACTTGGCGATTAGCCAGATCTCTACAAATTTGTCGTGCGCGCTTCTCTAACGCACAGGCGGATAGCTTGTGCAAGTTGTTGCACATGGGTTAAGTTCTGACTAAAGGAAACGCATTAACGACGAGCTACAGAGAGTCGCTTTTGTGCCAAACCGCGCAGCGACAGGAATCGCGCGAGGTATGCCTTAGGCCTCACGCGATTTCAGCTGCGACGCGACTTGGCAATTCGCCAGAACTCTTCGGGTTCAACCTAACAAAATAAATGCATAGTGTGTATAACTTACGTGAACTGATAAAATGCCCTATCTTCTGTAAGTTTAATCTGTGCTTACAGTGAGTTATGGACAGTTGGGATATTGCCAAATCGCGTGAAGTATGCCCGGCCCTCTGTCCGGAAACGGTAACGTCATTAATAATTATTGCCTGTCATTGTCAAATTTTGGATAGGATCTGTCTATTTTGGAATGCAAAAAGTGCTTGAAACCGTATTTTAGACATTTCTTTATTCGTGTGAGTACAACGTAGGTGCATTTTTTGGTTAGTTTGTTAGTCGTCGAGATTCTTCAGTATAACATCGAGACGTTGTAATTCTCCTCGAATGCGATCATTTTCGTAATTATCTTGTATGTAACCTCTTTGCTGAAATTGGACAAGTCATAGGGGCAGAAAAAGTTTTGATATGAGATACCTTTGACGTAGAACCTCTGCCACAGCATCCATAACACAAACCTCTTCTTCCACAACAGCAATTCGGATATCTGCAATAAATCTATGAGGGCATAAATTTCACAAATGAGGCCAGGCTGGATCTCTTATTTGTGGAAAATATATGTTAGACCTCAACTAAGCTATATTTTGCCCAGCTTATATATTCACCAGTGCGTCACCTCTGCTTCGCAGAGGTTCGCACTGGCTCTACTATCTATGTGCCTTACTCATTCTCGTAAAATCGTGGCACTGGAACTCACCGCGCTATGCCGACTACCACGAATAAAATGTAAACAACCACTCATTTAGAAAGTTTTTTCACGTGAGATCGGTGATTTCGCGTGGATGAAACTTTTCGCAGGAAGACAAACGCAAATTTGAATAGGTTTTTGGATTTGTCATGATTTGGTAGTCGCCATAGAGGTAATGATAACCGTGAGCTACATCTCTGTGCGAAAATCTTCTCAAACGCTTAGCTAGAACCTTGGCAAATTGACCATTTACACAACCAAATCGTTTTGGCGCCGTTTTCGTTATGTAATAAACTTCCGACCACTTTTCTGGCTAAACTCCATCGCTTGCATATTTGCTTACCAAACTCATCCACGACTCTGCAAAAAGTGGTGATACGGACCGAATTTTGCGGTACAGAAGCCAGGTGGACCCGTTTGGCACGCAATTTCTGAGGGATCCACTCAACGAATCTACTCGTGCTTTTGCATTTTGGACTTTCATGAAGGTAGCATGCGCTATACAAAATTTGGGCTTAGAACGCTGGCTGGAACACGCTCCACGAATTTCGTAACAGACACACTCACACACACACACACACACACACACACACACACACACACACACACACACACACACACACACACACACACACACACACACACACACACACACACACACACACACACACACACACACACACACACACACACACACACACACACACACACACACACACACACACACACACACACACACACACACACACACACACACACACACACACACACAAAGTCACGTAAACATCCTTAGCCCGTTATTATAAGTTATGATTCTTGGCCCAGAAGTGTAAATCCAAACTCTCGCCCATATTATTAGGTTGATGCAAAAGGAATGGCCGATTTGCGAATTCTCACTTTGATGTGCTATAACTTTCTGAAAGATCCACATTTATGAATACGGTAAAGACCTCCAGAAGCAGCAATCCTTTCGCAATACAGCGCATACTTAGTTATACTCAAACCATGAACGGGAAGAGAAATACGGACTAAAAGACAAAAAAGGTTCTTCTGAGGGAACCTTGTTTTTGACAATTCATAACTTCCTTCAGAGTTTCTTAGTATGAATGAAAAGTGGCCTATCTTGTAGCCGCAAGTCAGTAGTACAAAACACCTTAAAAAGAATTCAAACAAAAAAGTTTGCGAGAAAGAAAAAATTGAAATTTAAAATTTCTCAGTTTTTTCAACATTTTTTCAGTGCGCCTCAAGGTCCGAAATATAGAATTTTCTGATTTTCCTCGTACTGAACAGCTGGATGTTTTTGCAAAAACTGCTAATAAATGTCCTAGCTCTACGCTTACAGAATTGAGCAAAGCTTTGGCGACTGACTTCCTCAAAAGAAAATTATGGGTCATAAAATGACCGCAACAGCTACCCATATTTAGGCTCCGATATCTCAGTCTGGAGAGCTTTAAAGAATGCAGTTAAGTATGCATAATGTAGAAAATTTCTATTACATACAATAGCTAAATTTTTGAAGAAATCCCATTGATACGCGCTTGAATTCTGGCCGGAAAAGTGAGTGCAAAGAAATTCTGAATTTGGATGCAGTTATTTACAGCTTAGTAACTTTATAAGAAATGAGGATGAGAGCCCGTTTCAAGCACCGTTAGATAGAGCATGAAAACAGCTTTGCGACAATATACTACATCCATTGTAAAGAAAAAGCATTGATGGAAAAAAGTTGCCCTGAAAAAAAAAACTTGGAAAATCGGCCATTTGTTTTGCATCAACCTAATATTTTGTCTACCGTACTCGAGGACGCTGATTGGTCAGCTTGAAAACAGTATGGTATGGGCAGATGGTTGAAAGCAAATTATTGTGGCTATGAGCGATTCATATGAATTGCCGTTTGCGAGGAGGATTGATGGAAATCTTACCAGTTTCGTCTGCAGAGCTCTTTCTTGTAGCTCATTTGATTACAAACTTGTAAAAATTCAAAAGCTAAAGGAAAATCGTTTCAATTACGAAGATTCTTAGTTTTTTGATCTAGCAACTGTTTCAAAAAAGGAAGGTTCCTATGTCTAGATCCAGTTATCTAATAAGTGTGACATACTGGCCGGTAGTAATCCCCCCGACCTGGCGGTAGGTCTGGTTGGCAGCTCGCTGGCACCTTTTCCGTGAGGTGGCCAGAAAGAGAGACCCCAAATTCAAGCCGTCCTAGGCCTTTTTCCAAAAAATTTTCTTGATAAAGATGCCGCCTCGAGTCTGTAGAAAACTTCATAAAAGTCTGCGGCTCCAGAACTCCTCCTTGAGTAAAATATCTGGAATCGCAGGAGGAGCTGCCGGCAACTTCGCGAGGTCAGTTGCCGGCAACCTGCCGGCAGCTCACCGAAATCCGCGAGATGGCAGCTGCCGGCAGGTCAGAGAGCACGGGAAATAGCGTGCTCTTTTGAGAGAGGGAGCTGCCGGCATCTCGACGTGCCCCTACCACGTCGAGGTGGTGGCACCTTTGCCGACAGCGTCTGTGAAAGTGCGTTATGGACAGTTGCGGGCGACGCCGCTAGAATGGCGCCTTCAATCACTTCGCGGAATATTGGAATTTTTGTGCAAGGCTCTCGTTTCCTCTTCATTTCTACTGCTCACGTCGTCTTTGATGCTTGCAGTTCGTTTCAAATGGCTGATTTCAGGAGGCCTGAGAGGCTTGGGCCTCCCAGGGCCAGCCCCTCCCCCCACCTCTGTTGAGATCGCGATAGAGCCGCTCACCAGTTGCAACATCACAAAGGAAGCACTGTCTAAGGTAATTTCAGGACTTCTTTTCGTAAGGTTGCGACTAAGGGATTATTTCTACATTTTTCATTTCATTTCTGACCGTGGAAGTCACTCATCCATGAGGTGGGCGGGTTCGGAGAGGACAGGAGATGAGCGCTGCTTTCACTTTGAAATTTCGGGGGCTAGAAGTGGCAGAGAAAGATCGAACTTTGGCCCAATCCACCCCGGGCTCCTTCCCTGTGACCTTCTTTTGCCACGGGTCTCATTCTGCCGACGCACTGCCTTTAAGCAGCATTTGATTATCCAAATAAAGCTGTGACATACTGTCTGCCTTTTCCTGTCAGACCATAAATTGAAGGCCTTGGAGCGTCCAGTGGGTAACTATCTTCATACAGCCAACGTTTAATGTGGCACCCATTACGAACAAAACTATAAAAAGGCTATTTGTAAATGCAAACTCTTCTAAGTGCAAGAAAACTAACTTGCTGATTACTATACGTTGGGCAGGATAATCTGGATCAATTCCATCTTCAATAGGAACCATGTCGGGAACACGTTGAAAAGCTGGTTGCTAGAAAAGGAGAATTTTTGGTATTTATAATACAGTTGAGCGAATCATTGCGACACCTCTACTGCCGGTTCTTCCATAGGTGGTCTCATGAATCTCTCTTGTTCTCTTTGGCGCATCTCTTGTTCTCGTCTCACAGCTGCTTCTGAATAAAAGTATCCACAGCTTCCAAAAATTGCTCGCTCCGGCGTCGTTAGGCCCCGGACAGACTTCACGCGATTTGATCGTCGCGATACAATCGCCGATATTTCCATTCATTTCCATTTCACATTCAAAAATTTCGGGCTGGAAAAGTATCACAAACGAAATGCAAGTTGATCGGCATGGAATGATGTTGTAACAGTTGTCTCGTCGCGATTCAGTCGCGACGATCAAATCGCGTGAAGTATGCCCGGGGCCTTACAGCGTTGTGCCAGGGCTGTGCCTACCAAAAGCTCTCACCTGTTGCTGCCTGATACGCTGGCGGCTTCGGGCGTCTCCTTTTTATCGAACTATCTTAAATGCTGATATTCACAAAAAATGCAGATTTATTCTCAAAGAATTAGCTTGGAAAGTCAGGGTCAATAAATCTGTTCAATATAAAAGAATTTGCTCACAATAATTGATGGTAATTTTCAGAACTAACCAATGTCGATAGCTGTCGACGGAGCATCGTCTTCTTTCTTCGGACGCTCGTCTGGAATCGCATTGGTTCGAATCGTACCTGGTCAACATGTATCATTATGACCACTCCACGATTGATCTTGTTCGGCGACTAGGCAAGCTCCATTGCGCGCCAGCGCCGTGCTAGCGCCGTGCCGAGACGACGCTGAGTTACTGCTCGATCGGATCATGCAACAGTTCCAGCAAGCCAGGTGTCGGAATGGAAGCGCTGGCATGGCAACTCAGCTTAACATTGTCCGATCCACTGCTAGGCCGGTCGCTGCAGGACCAGCAGTCCGAGGAAGCGGTGCCTAAAGGGCTGGGCATACTTCACGCGATTTCAGTCGCGACCTGATTTGGCAATTCGCCAGAAGTCTTCAGATTCAACACTAACAAACTGTATACATGCATAGGATAAATTACACGGAATGATAGAATGCCCTATCTTCTGTACGTTTGAAATGTATTTACAATGATTTATGGACAGTTGGAATGTTGCCAAATCGCGTCGCTACTGGAATCGCGTGAACTATACCCGGCCCTCATTGAGGTGTTCGTTCCTCTACTCCGCTACATCAGATGATGCGAACCAAGATATTTATAACTAGCTCCTCTCTCAGTTATATGACGGCTAGCGACAAAAAGCAAGAGCTATCTTAGTACGGCTATACTGCAAGTCGTAATCACGATTGTTGAAGGTAGAGGACGTTGTCGACGATGGATCATGATGCACAATGGATATGAGCTGTATCATGATGAAACGCATGGTTAGTGGCAGATATCGGTGAAGACGGAGCCCATCGGAGGTAGCGGATTCTTAAAATTGTTAAACTTCAAAGGCAGCGTCCGGGCAAGATTTCGGATAAAATTTTTTCCTCTTACTTGGGCTTATGCTTCCCGCTGATTCCGAAAATGCAGGCCGGAGAGCACGAAAACATCGAAAACGGGCTTTTCCAGAAGCTCTTATTTGAATTTTGTCGCCTGCCGCCAAGGTTAACACGCAGAGTCTTTGTGGGACCCTACGTCTTGACTGTGTGCGGTATGCGCACTCTGACTTATAGAACTAACTCCCCGGTCGCCGGGGCGTTCCGGTTGCCACTTCTGAAGCGGTATTCTTGCTTCAGAAGCAAATTGGTGATTGCCAGCTGGGCAAGAGCTTTACCAGGACGGCACTCCTACTCTACATTTTCGTTTTTGCCTGGACGCTGCCTTCAAATTACGTGCGACTTACATCTCTTTCTATGACAGGTTGTGCAGCTTTGAGAATAGCTCCCTAAATGCAAGATAATGTTCTCGAATAGATTAATTTTGACGATTATTGATTAGATTATGTATTTCTCTTCGATTTCAGAACAGTTCTTACAGCATCCGAACTCGTCAAATAACTATTTCTTTTTCCTTGAGTTAAAATGAAACCAGATTATATGATCTACTTACGTCTTGGCTCGGTCTGGTCTTTTTATCCTAAAATTTCCAGAGAGTATTTAGCGTTGTTCAATTTGGAGGCATTAGCCTTTTGAGGTCGCTGATTTTGTTCAAGATCACCCTCTAAATTCTTTGGGAAATTCTCTCTGATTTTTACTTTTCTTTTTTTCGAAAGTGGATAGGTTGCGGATAAGTAGATAGTAGTAGGTATCACAAGTGAAAAGCAGCACATAATAGTATGCAGATTCAAACTTTTTTCCAAGGAACCCCATCCTCCAGCGGTGGAACCGGGATCTGACAAGAAGCAAGAAGATGGTTGCATTATCAACGCATTAGCTCTGAAAAATTCTCCAAAATCTTTCGCCACTCAGAATCTCCGCTCAAGGCCCGGCACGAGGTGGGCAAATGACAAGCTGGAAATCGTTTTGGGGCCAAGAAGCAAAGGGGATATTGTTTTTGCGCGATCCGGGGCAGAGCCCCGGAAGAAGATTCCAAATGCAAGCAAAAGATTGTCGAATCATGCTTACCTTCTGCACCTAATTCATCGGAAAATAGTTTTCATAAACCTCAACGTACAGCAGACTTCGCGCGTACTACGCCGCGTTGCCGCTAATTGCCGCGTGCGCGACGTCGCGTGAGCGATGCCGTTGAACAGCATGATTACATGATCAGTTCTCAATGCAGGCGTAATGATATAGCACTAAACGTAAGCGAATAAAGAGAGGCTAGTAGAAACAAAGCATGAAATGTTATGAAAAACTTATGTGAATGGGAGGTGTAATAAGCATTTTTTCCAAAAATTTCGCAAAGCTGGTAAATGAAGATGTGAGTTCAAATGGCTCGTTTGCAGCGCTCAAATGACCATACGGTATGAAACTTGGTAGGTACATGAACACGGACCTGCAGGGCTTATCTCAGAAGTTTTATTGAAAAATTATGTGAATGAAGGTTGTGGCAAGCTTTTTTCTGAAAATTTGCCACTATCAAGAAAATGGAAAAATGGCTCGTTTGCAGCGCAGAGAAAACGAAATCGCGCGAGACTTGGTGTGCATACGTGCAGTGGGACCAAGGAAAATGTGTGGAAAATCATGAAAAATTTATGTGAATGAAGAGCGTGCTTAACTTTTTTCCAAATTAGGTGGGCAATTGCCCACCTAATGCCCACTTGAGGTGAGCAAAACTTTCAATTCACATAATTTTTTCAAAAATTTTTACATAAACCTGTTGTTCACCTAAAGTTTACTACATGGTGAGATTTTGTTTCGAAACTCTTCCTCTTGCTTTGTTAGAGCCCAAAATCGCATCAGCAGCCTAGCTTTCTAAGATGGAAAGCGCGCCCCAATCGAACGCGCGGGAACGGCGACTTTCAGTCCTAAAACCCCGTCTGCCCACCTCGTGCCGGACCCTGTCTCCGCTCTTACTTAGAACTACAGTCTAATCCCAAACAAAGGATTTCCCTAACACAAAGTCAACATAAAGTCAAACTCAAGTCTCTCACCGCTCGCGCTACACCGATAACAAATGCTCGAGCGCCAATCTCTGCCGTATCATATCAAGACTTATCAAATATTTTGTTACATTTCTTAATCACCCACCTTTCTCATCGGTGAATACGGAGTGACTGGAGCCTCTAAATTTGCTATTGCTGCATCTTTATCTGGTAAGGTTTTGGCGCTGGGAGTAGTCAAGCTTTGTGACTTGGTCAATTGTTCTCGATTATCCGCTATAATCTCAGCTTTAGATCGTCTTCTTCTTCGTCTTCTTCTTGATTTCCTGCTCTTTGATCTTCTGCTCCTCCTCGACTTTCTTCTTCTCGACCTTCTGCTTCTCGACTTTTTACTTCGTCCTCTTCTCCTCCTTGATTTCCTTGATCTTCTGCGACTTCTTCTGCTTCTTCCGCGCTTCCCACTCTTTCTGCTCCTCCTGCTTCTTCTGCGCGATCGCCTGGACCTTCTGCTTCGCCCTTTTCTACTCCTGCTATGCCTTTTTCTCGATCTGGACCTAGATTTGCGCGAACGAGATCGCCTTGAACGCTAAAAAACAAAGAGTGAGAGATCCATTTCTATAAAAAAAGTCATTAGTTATTAACCTTTACCCTCTTCCCTCTAGAAGCTCTCCTCCTTGAAACTCTCTTCACATTTTGCTTTCTCCGACAGCAGGAAAGCGACTTGTTCGTGTCTTTTTCTTCTTCCATCTCTCTATCCATGTCCACGACCAACTAAACGCAGAAGAAAAGTGACGGTCAGGAGCGGAATTCACTAACCCTCCTCTTTGTTCTCCTTTCACCCTGTTCAGGGCTTCTGTTCATTTTTAATGCTTGTTGATTCATTACACTGAAGTAAACCTAGACGAGTCGAGTTGAAATCCAAAAATGATGCACATCGCTTTTTCGATTGTTGTGATGGATAAGAATGAAAAGATCCATCGATATCGTCTACATAAATTTATTGGTAAGCTCCATTTCAAAGTGAGCTTTATGTAAAAAATTTGAGATAGTTGTCTTGATTATCATTCCTCTCTAAACTCTCCATCTCTTTTTTCATCTCGGTAGAAGCAGGCACGGTATGAAATTTTATTTCTTTTTTCTTTGACAACATCATCTGAATTCTAATCAAGTCTTGAGAGACAAATTGCTTTATGTTTTTCCAGCACTTGAGCGCGAGCAAATGACAGATTAGAGTAGACACATCGAAATACATATGTCATACGAACACTTTTTGATAATGGACAAGTAATTTACCTATGTTTCTTCCTTTGCGGAAAATGTGTTTGTTGATGTGCTCTGAGATCGCTACGATCAGCAAAATTTCGGCCACTGAACGAACAAACGTACGGTTTCTCACCTGAATGAAGTTATAAAAATTATGGAATAACAGATCATTCTGACTCCACCAAAATTACCAAATTTGAAAAGAAAAATCAAGATACGAGAAAAATCTGCTAATAAATACCTGTATGTGTTCGCTGATGACCTTTCGATAACCACGGCTGCTGAAGCTTTTTCCACGTTTCTCACAAACGCACGGTAAGGAATGTTTTTAGATGCTCTTCAGTGCACCGGGTGATCTGAAAAAGGATAAGAAAGTGAAGAAAATTTCAAGTCTCTCCTCACTGTTCGCTGATGACCTTTCGATAACCAAAAAGTGTAAAAGTGTTCTGACTCCACCAAAATTCCAATCTCCATCCAATTCCAATCACCAAATTCTCGAAATTCCAGGTTTCACTTGCTCACAAATGCTTGAATTAGAGTGAAAACGAGTAATTCACTCGAATACAGCAAGACATGTGCCAACGCCTATAATACATTTGCTTTGAAGCTGACTGAAATAAAGTGCATGGAAATGGTCAAAATGGTAAGGGTTGAGCCAGACTTCGCGGAGAAGCGGCGTACGCGGCGTACGCAGCGTACGCTCGGTATATTTCACCATAGGAGCATACGCGGCGTACGCTGCGTACGTCGCGTACGCCGCGCAGTCTGGCCCAACCCTAACTCTCAATCTTCCAAAGCTCTAAGGTCTTACTGGGATAGCAAACAATTCAAAAGCGTGGTGATTATTGAAAAATTGCTACAAAATCAAGTGCATCATAATTAAGGATACGATCTGAATTGTCCTGCACACTAAATGTGCGGTGATTTTAGGTAATCTTTTCCAAAAAATATGATTATGAAAAAAAACTACTCAAAACGACTACTTTGATAAGCTTATCAAGACTGAAAAACGTGGTATAGAACTAAATAGGCAAAAAGTGTATATCAGCACAGCATTTCTTTCCCTGATCCGTCCTTTAATGATCTAATCAAGGCTTCCGC